TAACCCTTATGACATTGTAACAGCTAAGGCAAAGCACCCATCGACGTGAGTGACATTGAGTTGGCCACGCCCACCCAGTCACATGACCACTGAGCCCCACTTGCCCGGATGGTCATTAGGGCAGAGAACCGGTTGTTAAATTATTTGAATCCCGCCACTGGTTTGAGAGGGGCTTTGTACGATGTCCTTCTGTCTTAATTTTGACTTTTGCTCCCGTACTGCAGACTGAGGGAAGTCCCACAGCCGCCACCGTCTCTTCTCCTCTACGGAAGGAATCTTTTTCTGAACGGCCTCCCTACTCTTACATGGCCATGATCCAGTTCGCCATCAACAGCACGGAGAAGAAGCGCATGATGCTGAAAGACATCTACACCTGGATCGAGGATCATTTCCCCTATTTCAAGCATGTTGCCAAGCCAGGCTGGAAGGTAAAACATCTCTTGATCTGTATAAAAAAAAAAGTATCGGTAAAGACGATGTATTCCTATAAGATACTAGCTGATAACCCAGCATTGCCCAGGTATTTATTTATAGGGGGAAAATATCCGGATGAAACATAATTTATAATGTTGGATTTTCCTCCTTACTAGAGGGAGCCCCTTTATGGAGTACTGTGAAGCCGTTACCATGGCAATTCCACAGCGCTGCACAGTAAAAGCCATTTTACAGCATTACAGTAGAAGCCATTTTAAGGCACAACAGGCTGTACCTTAACACACACCCTGAATGGTTTTAGGGGTGTTGTACCCCCACAATATTTGTTTCCAGAGAATAAGTCATCTGTGTACTAAATTGGTTGAAATTGCTCGAGGCGTTCCAGAGTTATGCTGGAACGCACACACACACAGACACATTTTTATATAGAGAGAGATTATTAAAATGTACAACACAGATAGCCGTCGACTTACAACCACAACTGAGCCCAAAGCTTCCGTTGTTAACTGAAACCTTCGTTAAGGTGAGTTCTAGCATGTTTTACGAACTTTCTTGCAGAAGTCATTAAGCGAATCTCTGCAGTGGATAAGTTAGTAACAGGGTTGTGAAGTCAACCCGGCTTCCCCATTGATTTTGGTGGTCAAAAGAGGATCACGTGACCGTGGGGCACAGCAACGGTTGTAAGCACAGAGTCTCCGAGATTCACGGAACAGATCTTCAAACTCCTGAAACGAATCGAACGAACGAACGAATTGTTTCCTGCAAAAGCCAGCTCCCTTTTTACTCTTCTTATATTTCCTATGGAGGGACCAATCACCTTCCCCCTGCGGCTTTACAACCAAGTCTATCCTGATTTCTGAGTTGTTCTTTTCTTCCGGCAGCTCTGCGCATGCACACACTGGGAACAGGCTCCAGCTGTTCCTCTGCCTCACTGCTGTCGAGCTCAGAAGGCAGCTCATCACTGCCAGACGGTCTGAGCCCCGTCTCTGCCTCTGATGCAGAGCCATTCTCCTCCCCACCCTCCTCACTGTCCAAATTTGCTGCCAGCTCTGCTGGTTGCTGGTGGGCCACAACACTTGGCAACTTGGAGATGTGGGGACTTCAGTCTCCCAGTGTTGCAGCAGATTGAGGTTTGCAATCTACTTACGAAAGACCAGGACTTGAGACCACGAAGGTGAGAGAAACAGG